ACCAGCAGTACAGCCGAGTTAGAGCCGGACTAAGCGGCTTTATAACCAGCAGTACAGCCGAGTTAGAGCCGGACTAAGCGGCTTTATAACCAGCAGTACAGCCGAGTTAGAGCCGGACTAAGCGGCTTTATAACCAGCAGTACAGCCGAGTTAGAGCCGGAGTTTTGTTAAGAAACCCAACAAACGGTAAACATCATCAATTAATAGCACAGCCATCATGCTACTCTTAAACTTTCATTGTGTCCTGATTTAATAAACTGCACCCGTTGAGCACACAAAGCCATTCCTGCGCTAAGCAGCAACTAATTTAATTAGTAAGTTAACTTTTCATCACACCCATTAATTGCTCTTCATTATGTGCTACAGTCATTTACACTAAATTTGTCCTTTTGTTCCTAAGTAATTTATTTAGAAATACCAATAATCAGCCCAGTATCTGAGGGTGCCTGTTCTATACATCTTCAGAAACGTATTGGCGATGCCTCTGATCACACGTCTGAAGACAGACGGCCGCCTCTGTGGCTCTGCTGCTGGTTCTGCTGCTGCTGGTTCTGAAACCAGCTGGCTTTCTTCATGGGTTACCTCTGCAGATGGCTCCTCGTTCTGCTGGTGCTGGTTCTGCTGGTGCTGGTTCTGCTGGTGCTGGTTCTGCTCCTGGTTCTGCTGGTGCTGGTTCTGCTCCTGGTTCTGCTGCTGCTGGTTCTGCTGCTGGTTCTGCTGTTGCTTTATTTCCTCCTGTTGTTTCTCATTCAGCATTTTGATCAGCTGTTCCACTTTCCGCTCCAGGGCAGCGATTCTCCTCCGTAAAGTCTTGTTTACCTCAAACAGTTTTTGTAATTCTAAGTTTTTCTCCTGAAGCTGCTTTTCTTGTTCAAGTTTGATGTTCGCAATTTGTACCTTCAGCTCCTCGCTTGCTTTAAGGAGAGACTGTTTCTCAGCAGCCATCACGCTGATTTGATTCAAGATGGCACGAAGTTTCTTTGTCTCTTGCGCTAAGGCCTCTGAAGAGAGTTGCATTCTCTCCTCGTTCTCGGAGTCAGAAGATGACGACTTGCTGTTTTGACTCATTGTTGCTGACATTGTTCTGACTGGACAAATCCAATAAGTGTTCAATATTTTCCTGTATTTATTCGTTAGGAATTGCCTTTTTGAGTTCAATAATTGTTCAGAAAAGATCCTTCTACTTGTTCTGTCTATTCTGCAAAATGTTCATCTGAAGAGCAAATGGTTACCAAGAATTCAGGAACGCAGCTTTGTGATGTCACAGTGAAAAGCATGATGTCATAAATTGATGTCACTCCCTCAGGAGAACAACTAGAAAACTGCTGAAGTTTGAATAAAAACAATTTGTATTTTCTATTTCAAATTGTGAAACTAGTAAAAAAAAACATAAAATGCAAATAAAAATGTTATAAACCAATTATTTTTATATAAAACATTTAGTTATCAATGAAAAAGTGAATTGCTTTTGAGCCAGTGATGTTTCCTGGAGATCTGGAGATTTAGGACAGCTATGGTACATTTATATAAAAATTATTAGTATTCTGTTGTATTTTATTGTTTATTTCTAGTTTCACAATTTCAATATATTTTTAGGTACCTACCTACCAATAATATACAAAAAAGGACAAAAATATTGTAAAACATGAATGTCTATATATTTTTTTCTTTTGCTGTTTTTATATGTGTGTATATTAGAATGGGGTGATCATTACAAAAAAGATCACATTTTTATAATCAAATGTGTGTAATTTTTGTAGTTATATATAGATTAATGAAGAAGGCCCACTTTATAAAAAGCAATTATACTACATTCACATAATATATACATTTATATGAAAATATGCATTCATGTATTTTCTTCCCTGGCTAACCAGATATATGAAGAAATCAAATAATATTGAAAAAAATATATATAAACAAAACATATTCATCCATATTCCAGTCAGGTTATATTTCTTCCAAAATTTTGAAGGGTATGTTTAAATTTGTAACCCATTTGTTACTTATGTTGGTTTTATGTTTTCTATGGGTTTAAGGCTGATTTCTATTGTGATTTGTGATTTTATGTCTGTGAAAAGCACTTTATAAATAAACTTTACTTAATTACTCTACAGAAGAACAGAAGTGGAAAACAATGAAAAATAGAACAATTAAGGAACACCAAAAATGACAAAATTCCATAACCAAACTCAAACAACCCCAGATCCTGACAGCATATTTGTTTTTGTTAAAAAAAAGGATGACAAGACAATTTATTTGCATGCTTGTTATTATTATTGATATAAATGTTACAGACAGCACCGACTGTTGTCACCGTAGTGACAGAAGACAGGAGGAGAGAAAGAAGTTCCCTCACATTCCAGATGTTGCTGCTGTCTTATGTGGATCAGGCTTTTCTCCAGTGTGGGTTCGCTGATGACGTTTCAGCGTTGAGGAATTTTTGAATCTCTTCTCACAACGATCGCAGCTGTAAGGTTTTTCTCCAGTGTGGATTCGCTGATGACGTTTTAGCGTTGAGGATTTTTTGAATCTCTTCTCACAATGATTGCATCTGTAAGGCTCTTCACCAGTATGGCTTCGCAGATGACTGTTAAGACTACCCTTATGAATGAAAGCCTTTCCACACTGGTCACAGAGATAGCGCTTCTCTCCAGTGTGAATCCGTTGGTGGATTTTCAGACATTTCTTCCATCTGAAACGTTTCAGACATTTGTCACAGCGGTGTTTTTTCTGCAGGCTATGGGTGGGCTAATCCTGCTGTCCATCGCTGGGACCATCTGAGGCTTTGTCTTCATGTCCACCTGGGTTTGTGCGGGTTTGGTTCTACGAAGGGAAGTACAGTAATTATGGAGGTCTGGAACCTGTGGCCCCACCAGTGGCTCTTTGGACATTTTATAATGGCTCCTAATAATGTGGTTAAAAACACAGAAAAAACAACTGATGGTCTTTTAATCTAGGCATAATCACAAAAGTACATTTTAATGACTGAAGTTATATAGCGCTTTTCCAGTCATTTTGACCACTCACAGCACTTCACATCCACCCATTCACACTCACATTAGTACATCAGTAGGGGTTAAGTGTCTTGCCCAGAGGTACATCAACATGGACCAGGAGGAAGCTGGAATCGAACCAACAACCTTCTGATCACTAAACAAACACTCTACCCACAGAGCCACAGTCATCAGCAGTACACAACAGGACAATTGCATTGAATTTCCACAACAGAAGGAAAAGTTCCAGTTATTTTTTATTTTTTTATATCTTTTTCTTGTCATTGAGCTGAAAACTATCCTATAATTTTACTTAACTCTCCACAAATATTTTCATTGTTATGAATGATGATTTGAAGGCAGATTCAGGTTTTAATGTTTACATTTAACCATTTTAGTAATTAATATATTATTCAAGTGTTTTATGATAAATAACCATTTGTGAGGACAGGGAAGTCTGTGAATCCGGGTGGAAGGTTCGTTCCTCCAAGCAGTGGGTTAGTTTGTGCGTCACCTCAGGAAAACAGACTTTACAGCTGAAGAGGGAAGAGCTGATCAGGTTCTTGGGGAAAGGTTATTGTGTGGTAATTTGGGCGGGGTAGTCTCTGGATTAAAACCGTTGTTGGGGGTAAAATCTTTGATCACTTTGGGAGTCAGATGTTCTGAGAAGTGTGATCTCAAAGATATGATTCATTTTTCCTCGCCGACTCTTTTTGTGCTGGTTTATTTCTTCGCATACAAATCTAAGGGAGGTTTACTGATCTCAGCAACATCCTATAGATTTATGTCAGATTTATGTGTCATGATGATTTGTTGGGATTAATTGAGAACCCAAATACAAAACAACGGAAACGTGCAGTGAATAATAAAAAAGGTTTAATAAAAACAATGAACAAAAAACTGACCAAAAATCCACAAAGGGCAAACTACAAACAAAATCCAAGAGAGCGGAACAAAAACCGAAACACCACAGATCAAACCAGTGATGAGAACATGGGGAGGGTGAGAGGAAGTGACAGGAGGAACCAGCGAGGAGTGACTGAAGGAGAGGTGCTTCAGTACTGGGAGGCTGAATGCTGACACAAAGGACCGGGCTAATGACCAACAGGTATGAGGGGAGAGAGAGAAACTGAGGAGGAACACTGGGGACTAAATGAATCTAACATAAAGGAGAACTGAACCAACGAGACATGATGAACTAGAAGAACTAACAAACGACTGAACTACGGCAACAAGACGGATCTAACCAAAGAAACGTGAAATACTGAAACGAGAATATTTAAGAAGGCACCAAACCAGAGTAAAACTAAAACCAGCTTCTCAAAATAAAACAAGAGGAACTAAGAAACACAGAAATAAACAAAACCCAATCAAACAACTAGATGTTTGTCAAAATGACAAGTCATTTAACATTTGTGGCTCTAAAAAAAGTGTTGGGTTTTTTATCTGGACTGAAGGCAAAAATGGTTTCAGATCGTTTTTGTAAGCTTAAACACCTTTGGGTTTCGTTAGGTCAGGTCACAGGGCAAGAAAGACATACAGGACCAACAACCATGCACACACACACACACACACACACTTATAGTAATTCTGTGTATATATGATGCATATATTGTTTCCATGGAGACAAGTTGTTTTGATATTTTAGATCTTAATGTAACCATATTTGTAACAAATGACTACATTTGTTATGTATTGTTTTGTAAATGTCACTTCTTTTAAACCAAGCTGCATTCGTATGTGTGCCTCTGTGTATATACGAGCATGAGAGAGCTAAAGAGAGAGGAAAACACAGAACTATTTATTCACAACAGGCCCCCTGTTGGGGTGGCAGAAATATCACCCCACAACAATCAATAAATGTGGTGCATATGGATCCTGAGCTAAATATGGCGGACCGCACCCCATAGCCCCCCCCAACCCGGACCGCCATGTCTCTGGTAACGGCCTGCAGTGTTTTCAGAGAACCCAAATTAAAATAAATGTCATGTTTTGAGGTGTGGCATGAAGCCAGAGTACCCAGAGAAATCCCATGCATGCACAGAGAGAACATTCAAACTAAATGCAGAAAGACGATTAGAAACAAAAAAGTAGCACTTAGTTTCACACAAGTTTTAATAACCAACCTCTTCCAGTGATGCCTTTTCTTCCGCTCCAAGTTTCTCCATTTCAGTTCTGCATAAAACAAACATTCATAATATGTAAAATTGAATTGACAATATTTGCATAGCAGTTTCAGAAATAGTTGAAACCAGATATTTATTAGAGGCAACCTGATTTCACACATTATGATTTTAAAGCAGTCTTAACTTCCTGCTTTATGTCAGCCAGGATTAAATATATTCCCTAATTTCTCAGAAAAGTTTTCATTTCTGTTTTTAATTTAGAACGTTTTCATAAGCTAACTAAGCATTTAAACAGATGCTTTGTAATCTTTTACCACTTTTAACAGAAACAAATGAGAATCCTGGAACAGAGGGATGATTTCTGCTTCACACGTTTAAGTCTTAGTAATGACATGATTCTACAAAGTGAAATATTAAACATCAGTATGAATTATTACAAATATATGTGATAAATAAATAAGCCTTTACTTACCGTTTCTTTGAGCCACCTCTTCAGATTATCTTTGTCATATTTACATTTGACAGATGCTCTTATGGTTTCCATGGTAACATTGTTCAAAGGGTTACAGCTCCATAAACATTTAACTCTCTATGTATTTTTTAAAACAAAACATTCAGCCATCTGATTATTCTAATTACACACTTCTTTTGTGCACCAGAAAGTTTCACTTAAGGGGCGTTTACACGACAACGATCCAACAAAAAAACGGCACTTTTGTTCCGTTTTTGTTGGATCGTTTACACGATAACGTTCTAATTACGATTTGTGTTTACACAGTAACGGTACACATCGAAAACGTGTAATGTCCTGCCACACCACTAGTTGGTGCTAGATTCTTTGAAACTTAGGTGCGCATGCGTAAAAAAGGAGTTGTACCTGAAAGCTGTTACAACCGTTAAGATGGCAGCGAATAAAGTATTAATAA